TTTGGATTCTGTGTCTCCCTCTTTCTCTCTGCTCCTCCACCACTCACACACTATCTCTTTCTCTCAAAAATAAATTTAAAAATTTAAAAACAAAAAGCTAAGAAAATAGCAAATTAAGAACAAAGTAAGGAGAAGGAAGGAAATAAGGAAATAATAAAAATGAGTTAAAAATGAAATTCACAAAGGTAACAATCTATAAAACCAAAACCTGATTCTCTCAAGAGACCAATAAAATTGATAAATCTCTACCCAGACTAATCAAGAAAAGGAGAAACTATCACTACCAGGAATGAGAAAGAAAAAAATTATAGATCAGACAATAAAAGAATTTTAAAAATTATGAAAAATTTTGTTCAATTAAACAGGAAATGGACGAATTCCTTAAAAAATACAACTTATCAAAACGGATTTAAGAAAAAAAAATTTAAATCTGGAGAAGCCTTATATATGTTTTAAAATTTGAACACGAAATTTAAAACTTCTCACAAAGAAAACTCAGTCCCAGATTAGCTTCAGTGGTGAAGCCTTTCAAAAAGACAGAGTAGAAATGAACAAATCTTAAACAAACTCTTTCAAAAAATACAAGAGGAAATACTTCCTAACCCATTTATGAAGCCAGTATACCTAAAACAAAGATATTGCAAGGAAACTAATATTCCTCATAAATGTACACTTAAAAATTGTTTTAAAAACAATTTAAAACCACCTGGGTGGCTCAGTTGGTTAAGCATCCGACTTTGGGTAAGGTCATGATTTTGCGGTTCGTGAGTTCGAGGCCCACATCAGGCTCTGCACTGACAGCTCAGAGCCTGAGCCTGCTTCAGAATCTGTGACTCTCTCTCTCTCTGACCCTCCCCGGATTGTGCTCTGTCACTCTGTCTCTCAAAAATGAATAAAAAGCTAAAAAAAAATTTTTTTTAATTACTTTAAAAGGTTAGTAAACTGAATCCAGAAATGTATAAAAAGGATGACACATCATGACCAAGTGTAGCTTATCCTAGGAATACAAGGTTGGTTTAATACTTGAAAATCAATCAATGCAATTCACCATATGAAGATAGTAAGAAGAAAAAAAATCATTATCACCTAATAAATGCAGAAAAAGCATTTAAGTTACACATTCATTTATATGAAAATATAATCTCAGCAGGGGTGGCTGGGTAGCTCAGTCAGTTTAACGTCTGACTCTGACTCTGAACCTTTACGTACCTGTAACAGTCACAAAATACACAGCCAAAGTAAAAAGAATCAACCGCATTTGGGGCGCCTGGGTGGCTCAGTCAGTTAAGCCTCTGACTTTGGCTCAGGTTATGATCTCACAGTTTGTGGGGCTCACAGCTCAAGGCCTGGAGCCTGCTTCAGATTCTGTGTCTCCCTCTCTCTCTGCCCCACCCCCGCTCACACTCTGGCTCTTTCAAAAATAAATAAATGTTAAAAAATTTTTTTGAAAAAGAAAAAACAAAATCAACCACATTTCTATATACTGGTCATGAACAATTAAACATTGAAATTTTTAAAAATACCATTTACAATTGCATTCAAAACATGAAATATTTAGGGGTAAATATTTCCAATAACTCTACACTTAAAACTACATAACAATGCTAAGATAAATTAAAACCTAAACAAAGTGATATGCCATGTTCATGGACTAGAAACCACTATTGTTTAGATGCTGATCAAGTCAACATATAGAATCAATATAATCCCAATAAAAACCCAGCTGGTTCTTTTTATAGAAACTGAAAGGTTGATTCTACATTTTATACGAAAATACAAACAACCTAGAATGGTCAAAACAGTCTTGCAAGAAGAATAACAAAACTGGGAGACTACACTACCTGATTTCAAGATTTACTATACAAGATTCAACAATCAAGACAGTGTAATACTGATGCAAAGATATAGACACTGGATCAAACAAAATGAAAACACAAGAGAAACAGCTTAACTTCTAGAAAGACACCCCCCCTCAAAAAATGAAAAAAAGATTCATACAAAAATGTTCATAGCAGTTTTATCCATAAGGTTGAAAAACAGAGATAATACAACCATAACAGGGGAAAGGAATAACCAAACTTTAGGATAATAAGGCAACAGAGTATTAATAATAGAGTATTAATCAACAATAAAAAGAAATGAACTACTTACTGATCCACTCAACCAACATGGATAAACCAAAAACATTATGCTCAGCAAAAGAAGCCAGACATAAGTTATATACGATGCCATTTGCATAAAGTTCTCAAGAGGACTGATTAGGAAGAAACACAAAGAAACCCTCTAAGATGACAGAAATATTCTGTCTGGACTGTAGCTTATACAAGTCTATGCAGTTGTCCAAACTCTGAACTTTAAAATTAGGAGCTGAGAGGGGCGCCTGGGTGGCTCAGTCGGTTAAGCGTCCGACTTCAGCTCAGGTCACGATCTCGCGGTCCGTGAGTTCGAGCCCCGCGTCGGGCTCTGGGCTGATGGCCCAGAGCCCAGAGCCTGCTTCCAATTCTGTGTCTCCCTCTCTCTCTGCCCCTCCCCCATTCATGCTCTGTCTCTCTCTCTCTGTCTCAAAAATAAATAAACGTTAAAAAAATTAAAATTAGGAGCTGAGAGCATTCACTTTAAAGTTTTCCTCAATTAAAAATTTTTTTTCACTCAAAATATATTTGACTGCCTACCATAGCCGAGGTATTGAAAACTTGCAAGAAAAAAAAGTCAATTATCAAAATGAAAAGCAAACAAAGAGAAACCTTTTAAGCTAAGAAATAAAAGCCAGTAGACTGCCAATCAAAGAATGTTACAGGTATATACACAACATGTACAGAAGTAACAGGAAAAAAAAAAAATCACAGTGGATCTGGGCAACTAAAGTAATTAAAGTATGAAGCTCACATGGAGCACTCACAGACCACTTTCATAAAACACTCCTTCACAAATTTAAAAGAACAGAAATTATACAATATATGCTCTCAGACCACAAAGGACTTAAACTGAAAATTAATAACAGAAAAATAGCTGGAAAATCCCCAAATACTTAGAGATTAAACAACACACTTCTAAATGATATGTGGATCAAAGAAGGTATCTGAGGAGAAATTAAAAGATATATTGAACTAAAGAAAAATAAAACAATTCATCAAAATTTGTGGGATGCAGTGAAAGCAGTGCTTAGAGGGAAACTCCGATCACTGAATGCATATATTAGAAAAGAAGATCTAAAAAATCAATCATCTAACCTTCCAACTTAGAAAACTAAACAAGACCAAATCAAACCCAAAATAACAGAAGAAATCACAAAAATTAGAGCAGAAATCAGTGAAATTGAAAACTAGAAATCAACAGAGAAAATAAAAAACTAACTCTTCTAAAATATCAATAAACTTGGTAAGACTCTACTAGGGTCTAGCAGAAAACAAGGAATTGTCCAATAGGTATGAGATTCAGTTTTGCAAGAAAAAACAGCTCTAGAGACCTGCTGAACAATAATGGATATTAAAAGAATAACAAAGGAATACTGTGAGCAACTCTATGCCCACAAATTTCAAAATCTAGATGAAATGGACCAATTCCTTGAAAGGCACAATCTGTAAAAACTCACACAAGAGAAAATAAATAATCTGAACAGGTCCTCCATCTATTAAAGAAAGTGAGTAATTAATAACGTTTAAAAACAAACAAGCAAACAACCTTCCCAAAACTACCAGGCTTTATGTACTCAACTGAGCTTATCCTACATTTATGAAAGAAATTATACCAATTCTCTACAATCTCTTTCAGAAGTTAGAAGCAGAGGGAATAATCCTAGCTCATTCTCTAAGGCCAGGATTACCCTAATATCAAAATCAGAAACAAAGATATTACAAAAAAACTAGCCCAATATAACTCACAAACAGATACAAAAAATCCTCAACAACATATTAGCAAATTGAATCCAACAATGTATAACAAGAATTACACACAACAACCAAGTGGGATATATTAGAGGTATATAAGGGTGGTTCAGCATTCAAAAATCTATCAGTGTAAGCCATCACATGAAAAGACTAAAAAAAAGTAAGGCTATTGCAAAGGGCTAGAAAAGTTGGTGGGCACATGTATTAGAATACAACTATAACTATTATTCATTTACACTATGTGCCAATACCTGGGATACGATGGAAAATAAGACAAAATTCATGCTCTCATAGAGCCTACAATCTATTAGACAGACACTGAACAAGTAACCACAAGTCCCTATTGCAGAGACTCAACCTGGACTAAATAGAAGTGGCAGGCTGATAATGATGAACCACTAACTAGATTAAAAAACAGGAAGGGGGTATGGCTAAAGGGAATATTACAAGCAGGATGCATGAAGGTTCTGAAGCAAAAGAAAAAGTACAGTGTATTAGATATACTGAAAGAAATCCAAGTCTAATATCACAGAAAGGATAGAAGAGGATTACATTATGGTTATGGTTTTGTTGGTCAGTCATCAGGTAAAAAGAAAAACAAGAAGGCAAAAAAGTTATGAGTGCCTACAAAAGAATATTTTAGGTGAGAAACAATGACATTTAGGATAAACAGGAAAAACTAAAGGTCGATATGCTTTTGAAAAAGGTAATGAAAAAAATACAGACACCAGGAATTGCCAAGTTACAGAACCCGAAGGAAAAACCTTCAGGTGTATGATCTTTTTCTAGTTATACTCAAGATTCAATCTTTCTACTCTTTAAGGAAACCAAGAAGTTGAAACAAAATCTTTAAAATTTAAGCACTTAAAATTTAATACACAGTAATCCTGGAAAAGATAAGTTACTAAATGTATACAATACAAAAACTTGATTTTGCCTTTTTCAAATGTGATTTGTGTCAACATTTAGTGTATTCATTTAATAACACCCAGTTAACTATTAAGACTTTAAACATTTTCTGAAATTTCTTCAATGACTTGAAGCATTACTTAACACAAAATTAATTATGTTTCTAACTATAAGTTACATTAATTTTAAAAAGGAATTACTTACAGGGACATTAAGTGCATACTGTAGTCCTTGAGGAAGTCTTTCATGTGTTTCCATCTGCTCTTCATCATTTTTCACTGTCTCCTCATGGACCATGAGTTCATCATGTGATATCATATCCTGTTGTCTCATTTCGCTTTCTTGTAACACTTCATCTGCAGCAAGGATCTCCTGGTGAGGCATACTCCGATCTTGAAGTACCGACTCCTGCAGTTCCCCAGACACGGTAGACTGGCCAGACACTCCACCCATTACAACCATTGCCCTGGAAGACTGCATTTCGTCTATGCCGCCACATTTAAGAAATAATCCTTCCAGTTTGTCGTCAATGTTCATGCTTAAGTATAACTGCCTAGAAAGACCAAGTTTGGCAACAAAGCATAATAAATTAGTTTTATATGTCTACTTGATCCTTTTTAAATTTCAATTATGAAAGGTACACACTTTAATAGAAAAACTTTATTCATGTAATTTGTATTGTCTCCAATTTTAAAAATATCAAGGTAAGTTTCCAAAGGCTGGTGGAATAAAATGCAACTTCTCATTTTTGACATTAAGGCAAAAAATCATAATCTATTTCATTATGAAAAATGAGTATGACATAAAGGAAATTGGGGGGAAGTATCTGTAACAAAGGAGTTATGTTCTTTAATATATTAAAATGTCAAAAAAATTTTAAAGGTGTATAAAGAAATAAAGTGACAAACCACTATCAGGCAGATCATAAAGAAAACTTAGAAAACAGTCACTAAATATACAAAATAATAGTCACTTACAGTAGTAATCAAAGAAATGAAAATTAAAACAGAACTACCATATTTCATCCACCAAACTGGTAGTGACTCTTTAAAAAAATATACGTCTTGGGGCGCCTGGGTGGCTCAGTCGGTTAGGCGTCCGACTTCGGCTCAGGTCACGATCTCGCAGTATGTGAGTTCGAGCCCCGCGTCGGGCTCTGTGCTGACTGCTCAGAGCCTGGAGCCTGTTTCAGCTTCTGTGTCTCCCTCTCTCTCTGACCCTCCCCCGTTCATGCTCTGTCTCTCTCTGTCTCAAAAATAAATAAATGTTAAAAAAAAAAATTTTTTTTAAATATACGTCCAATGTTGCAGTAGGTTTAAAAAAAAAAAGACACTCATTATGAACAGTAGGAAAATAAATCAGCTCAATTACTTTCAAAGGCAATTTGGTACTTTCTATCAAAAGCCATAAAAACACACATATTCTTGGAACTGGTAATTATACTTATAGAAACCTATCCCAATGAAACAAAATATATACGTGAAAAATCACTACAGTAATTTACATTAGCAAAAAAATGGAAATACACTATTCAACAAACAAAACTGGTTAAAATATATTCATACATATGTCTTAAAACTATAGTGACAGCTATACAACTCAGTTAGTTATATTATATTATATATATATAATATATATATAGCTATATTATATCTCACAGTTTTTCTCAAAAATAGAATCAGAATAATGGCCCTTGGGGGTGGGGGGGGTTGCTGCTGATAACAACAGGCAGGCAATGGGGAGTGTATGGGAGCTAGCAATATTTTTTTCTTGAGTTGAATGCTGGTTGGACAGATATGCTCACTTTGTAAAATTTCAAGTTGTACATGTGCAAAATATGCATGTTTTTGTCAGTTACTACACTTCAATAAAAAGTAAAAATCTGCTGACACTACAAAACAGTAATGAAATTATTCTTGAAAAATATTTGAAAATGTGGGGGAATATCCCAGTATTAAAGGAAATGTATGTGTGCATTTAAAGATACAGAAGTTTATGTAAAATGTTAACACCATTAACATTACCACTGGTGGTGAAATTACCAGAAGTTTTTTCCATATTTATATTTATCTCTAATTTAAAAACTTACTATAATAAAATTTTACTTTTTATACATGCTTTTAAATTTGTTAAAATGAAATAAAGGTGATACTTTCCTTACTAATACTTTTTTTTTTTTTAACATTTATTTATTTTAGTGAGACAGGGACAAAGCACCAGTGGGAAAAGAGCAGAGAAAGAGGGAGACAGAAGCTGAAGCAGGCTCCAGGCTCCGAGCTGTCAGCACAAAGCGTGATGCAGGGCTTAAACCCACGAACCACAAGATCATGACCTGAGTGAAAGTCAGATACTTAACCAACTGAGCCACGCAGGTGCCCCACTAATATATTCTTAAATAACACATGATTAAATTTAACAGGTCATGAGACCTAGACACTACCAAATAATTATATTATTTCCTCCATTATTGTAGAAAAGATAGGCAATATTAAATCTGCCCTTCTAACTTTGGTTGCTGTAAATTCAAATTCCACTGTGTTACTCCAAGAACCAACATAATGATCATGAAAGCTAAAGAAACTTCATCTCAAAAAACATGAAAGCACTGGTGCAAAGTTTGTTTTTCAAAACTGATTTCTACTATCAGACTGTGTAAAAATAACATACATGCCCTCTGCAAAGGGACAAGTCCAAAAGTAGTAAATGCATTTAACTATTTGTCTCAGTTTAGTCACCTCTTTCCCAAATCAATCAGGTAGGTACTAGCTACTGCCTTGATCATAGCTTTCAAAGGTAAAATAAATGATCAGTTAAATTCAAATGTACTACTGAAATTTAAATGCACTTTCACTTACTAAGGTTATCACTTAGGGAGAAACCTGTACTTAAATGAACAGCTCCAAAAAAAAAGACCTTGTAAACAGCAAAGTAAAAAAAACACAAAAACATAATTCATACTTGCTAATCCTATCTTCCCTGGTACAAGATATTATCAGTCTAGAATACATAAAACAAAGTACCAAGAATCTGATTTTTACTTTTCAAAATCTTTAAATAGCAAGCTTGAAATCTACAGGACGATTTTAAATAAATCACCAAATAACTATTCTCTTCTAATATTCTATTTAGCACATTTCTTAGAAAATAAACTATCCTACAACTAAATGAAACTTAAGCCTTACAGGGCTAACTAAAATTTGCCTATTCTGGCCATTTCTTTGGAGGTTCTTACCAAATCATTATATTCTTCCAGTCTATTTACTGTTTTCTTAAAGAATGTGGAAAGCCCCTAACTTGAAAGGGAATTTTGATACCCAAAGCTAACCTTTATTGCAAGTCATCATTGTTGCTACTGCTACAATATACCCTTGACCCAGGCAAGCTCACTGCTAGGAATATACACAATCCTATAAGGTAATTCATCAAAATTAACCAAAGATACATGTACAAGGATGTTTGCTGCACCCCTTTAGTGGAAAAAGACTGGAAACTAAGCATTCACTGATATAAGATTTCTTAAATTATGATTCAGCCCTACAATGGAATACACACCATCATTAAAAGGAATGAATGAGGCTGCTATATGTGCTGGGTGAAAAGTTCTCCACAATACATTAAGTGAAAAAAATCAAGGAGAAGATACACAAATAAAGTGAGCCACTGCTTGTATCATACATCTCAACTAGTAACTGGGCAGAGTAAGCCAGACAGGAAATTAGACAAGGCTCTCAAGCAAAAAAGTTAATTTCACCTTGCATATAGTACAAGAAAAAGGACAAAACTACACTAAGAAAAATGGTAAGGAGGGGCCCCAGGGTGGCTCAGGAGGTTGAGCATCTGACTCTTAGTTTCAGCTCAGGTCATGATCCCATGGTCCTGTACTGACAGGATCCCAAGCTTTGTGACGACAGTGTGGAGTCCACTTGGGATTCTCTCTCTCTGTCCCTCTCCCCTACTCGTGCTGTCTCTCTCTTTAAAAAAAAAAGGTGGGGGGGGGGGGGTTGCGCCTGGATGGCTCAGTTAAGCGACTGACTTCAGCTCAGGTCATGATCTCGTGGTTTGAGAGTTCGAGCCCCGCATCAGGCTCCATGCTGACAGCTCAGAGCCTGGAGCCTGCTTCAGATTCTGTGTCTCCTCTCTTTGCCGTTCCCATGCTCATGCTCTGTCTCTCAATAATAAATAAATGTTAAAAAAAATTTTTTTTAAATGATAAGGAAAGTACATTTTTTACTGTCCCTGAAGCTCTCTTACATGCACTTATCATCTTTAACTTTCCCCCTTCTAACTCCTGCATGGTCTCAGTCAAAGCTCTCTTGTGCTTCACTGCACATTCAACAACCCAAATACAACAAAAGGTCCCATGCTCAAAAGGTCTCTTCTCTAACTTCTGTATTTCCAGGGAGGATCGGCCAAATATAAAGAAAGGAAACTGATATAATCAATCCATGTTAAAATGTGAATAGTTATAAATGTCTCTTCCCGCTAAACCATCAAAAAGCCAACTGCTTTTTGACCCAAATATCTACACAATTAATGGAAATTCAGCTGTTAGGGATATTACACAGCTAAGAGGAAGAAAGAAATGATGCTTCCTTTAAATCATGTTGCTTACATAAAAGAGTGCTCTAGAAGAAAAAAAGAAACAATTATTCTGTGTTCCCAGGAGCCTCTGTCCAACTGGGGAAAAAAAGAAGGGCTAGGTAGAGTAACAATAAGCAACCAGCCACCCGGAGTCCCTTGTGATGACACATTATTTTGTAAGGGATGGTGGGCAGCTGACAAAGGGTATAAAACACCAGAGCTATTAAGAGCCAAAACAAGACGGACAATGATGTTCTAGGGCTAATTCAGCTAAAGGTGAAATGGCCACCCAAAACAGATCATTAAAAACTAGAACAGAGCAAAAGAGAGGAAAAAAGGAAGGAGCCAGCCCACCTCAGGCCAATTTCTTCTAAATCTTCCTTTAGCAGATTACTTCAAACTGTATTCTTTTCCCCTTTCCAAGTTTTATTCTTCCCTCATCTCCATCTCTCTGTCAAAAAAGTTGACAGGTACAGCAAAAGGGATATTTAGGGGGTCACAATACAGTTTCCTGCTCCATTCAATTATCCCTCTCCCGCACACTCCTCGCCATCCTTTCCTATTGAAAAATGTTTGGTTCAGCTGTACAAAAGTAATCCAAATTGTGGCCAATTAGGTAACCCCTAGTCATTGAAGCCTAATGGCAATGCTCTAGTCAAAGAGAACATAAATTATTAGCCATCACTTTCTCCTATCTTCCACAAGAGACAGCTGACTCTCCTTGTCATCACCTTCTAATTTAATGCTTCTAATCAACTGTATGCAACCAATTAGAAAGCTTTATAGATTCATAAGATGAAATAAGAGTAAATAAGCTTTGAGTCAGGGTTTTCAATAAGGAATTAAACACATGGACTTTTAATACAAGCATTTGCGATAATTACTTCTAGGCTGAGGGGACTGTCTGGGCTTGCTTTCACAAGACAAAGTTAACAGAAGCATAACATATGGACAAGCTGGCCATTACTACTCATTTTTAATCAAGTATGCAAATGCCTACTGGTTTTTTTTATGCATTAATAAGGAAAATATCTTTCCAAATTTATTAATAGGTTTGGGTGTATATGATAAAGTTCATAACTTGCAGAGGAAGGACAACTAATGTGTTTAGGGTCTACTAGATGTAAGACACTGTGCTGGGCACATTTACATATATTAAATCACCTAACATTTATACTGAGGAACACTCAAGACACTAACAGTATATCCCCATCTAACAGATAAAGTCACTGGGTTTACTCTAAGTCACACAGGTGGAGGTAAACTGGGATTTCAAAACAGGCTTAGCTGGTTTAGTGCGCTTTTTGCCATACCATACTAACCTCCCAACTTGAAAGGCTCTGAACACGTTAAGAACTCAATGACCTCCTCTTCTCACTCACCTTAGAGACCACACTATCACCACTGCTTGGGTTGCTACAGCAATCCAAGTTTCCTCAGCTGGCTTCTCCTACCTCATGGCTATCATGGAAGAACTTTGTGACACTAAATCCCTTTTTCTCCTTTGGAAAGAATGGACACTTCCTACATTTGTTATTTTCCCATTTCCATCTATTATTCACACCTTAGTTAATATCTCCTGTCATTCTTTTTTTTTTCTCCATAGGTTTACATATATACCCTCTTCATCCTTCCATTCTTCCTTCAAACCTTTTCCAAATTACTTCAGGAAACTTCCTCTTTTACCTCCCCATTTTCACTTGAAAATCAAAATAATCCTAGATATGGCTGACAAATAAATATAGGAGCAGTTCTAAAGACATACCTGTATCAAAGAAAAAACAGCTGTAACTTTTTGGAAGACTTCTGCCATAATCATCTAAAAGTTTTGAAAACACCTAGTTCCCTTTCAGAATGTACATGAATATTCATCTGCCACTTTATGGCTTTTAATTAAATCTGCATTCAAGCACGAAAGAAGTATTTCTCACTTAAAGACACTGATTTTCTGTATATTTATTGAGTTTATTTGTAATATTATTCTCCACCAACTTTTACTGAACAATGTAGAACTTCCAACCATAAAAGTCAAAACAGACTATAGTGGGCAAGCTTAGGAATTAAACATCATTCTTTTTTCGGGACACCTGGGTGGCTCAGCTGGTTGAGTATCCGACTTTGACTCAAGTCATGATCTCGTGGTTCATGGGTTCAAGCCCCACATTGGCCTCTGTGCTGACAGCTCAGCCTGCTTCACATTCTGTGCCTCCCTCTCTGCCCCTCCCCTGCTCACACTCTGTCTCTCTTTCTCATAAAAAATAAACACGAAAAAAAAAATTTTTTTAATAAACATCATTCTTTTCTATAAAGAAAAATAATTTCCAACTCAAAATATTCTCCCAAATCAACAATACCCTGCCTTGTACCAGAACCCATTCTACCTATAAGCCTCACTTGTAGGCAGAAAAAAAGTACTGAAAAGAACTTATTCTTAAACAGATAAAAAAGAAAAACTCGGTTTTACAACTTACTTCTCACCCAAAGCATTTTCAGTAAACTCTTTGCTGTCTGGAGGATGCCAGTTACATTAACTCGGATATTAATTTTTCTAACCTATGTAGGGTCAGTGAGAAATTACAACTTAGCAATATCAGGATTGGAAACACAAGTATCAATCAGCTTCAAGATCAAATGGTTAGACAAAGCCAGAGACAAAGAAACCCATGACCAATATGGAATTAAATAATTTCCACCGGCCCTTCTTAAGAAGTTTCCTATTCTCTCTCATCCTTCACAAGCATAGTTTTATCTAAACAAAAACTGCTTCACCTCTAATTCAAAAACAAAGTTTACTTCTCTTCTAGGCATATTCTACATTCAGAAACCCCTTCAGAAATATCTTTGTACAACTACAATTTTGCATCTATAAAGCTGAGCTTATAAACTACGCCCTATGACAATTTTTAAGTTGCTACTTAGTTCAAAACATTCTAAGAGGAACAAATGGGTCTTTCTGACTAGTGCCAGCAATGGTAAAAGACACAAAATAAGAGAGATTATAGGCTAAAATCCATCATTTTATACAATATAACAAAAAAAAAAAAAACCTTTGACCATTTTCTAACCACAGAAAAATAATCTATAAATATTTAAGTCAAAGTTAACGGGCATTTCTATATACTGCACCCCCCTCAAATAAAGCAGAATCTAAGCATATTCTGCATTCCAAATACTCATCACCAAAGTCTTCTAAAACAATGTAACAAAAAAATAGTGATATTTGAATGTTAAAACAAAATTTTCAGCAACTCATACTGTTTAAGAAACAGCTATAATTTATCTTAAAAAGGAGAGGGGGAGAGAAGTTTTAAAAAAAAGTCCAAGCAAAACAGAACCCTACCTTCTGCTGGATCTACTTGTTTCATCCATCACACCTCATGCCAATATCAACAATTCAAATATTAATGTTAAAAATACTTATTCTGTTAGGAAACTATGAGTTTTCTACAGGCTTGTATAAGAAAAGGAATATCAAAAATACTTGTTAAAACAAACTTCCCTCTACACTACGAACATTAAGCACCTACGTTATTTTTAATATGTACTACATAGCAACCAAAACTCGTTTCAGAACAAATAAGTATTAACTATTAAAACTGACATTTGTTAAACATTAGATAAATACTCTCCTTTAATAATACAAACACTATTTGTGAAGCACAGAACTAAGGATGCATTTTCACCTTCAATGCCAAGAACATCTATAATGTCTTATACTATTCCATCATAAACTAAAGTCAACCAGCCGACTATACTATAACAAGTATATAAATTTATCAAAACTAAAGGGTACCAAGGCTAAAAGGTTGACATAAAACATGGTGGAAAACTGATAACTAGTTTGCAACCCTTTAATAAAATCTATAATAGAATATATAATATTTGATACTTGTTTCAAAACACAGTATTTACAACAGGACAAAAATCATAAAATACAATGTACGATGAAGTATTTTTCATCTAAAAATAACTAATTGAAATATATAATATCTTTGAGAAAAAGTTTTTCTGATCTTATCTAAACATTTAGAATAACACACTCTTTAGAATTAGAAGGAACTAGCTAGAGATCATTTAGCTTTGTTTATATGTAAAGAAATCCTCCTATCCAAGGCCTCCACCCCCTTGTGTTAGTCTAAAATATTAGATAAATCATTTCAACCTAATGATAGTGAAACAAGATGAGGAAGTATCTGAAGTCAATTTTAACTTTTAATACCTTATTCCATTTTATGATATCAAGACTAGCAGTGTTTATTCACAAAAAATTTGAGAACTAGTGACAGAACTTGAACTGTCTCAGAATGTCCAGGCCAAGAGTTAATGTCTTGGATAATAAAAATTGTATTTTAATGTTAATCCAAACTAGACAAATGGAAAGTAAATCTGACACAAACCCTAACTGACAATAAACTCCCCCTCCCTGAATCTGTTCTTTTCTTCTTGCCTAATAAGTGAGACAAACTCATTTCCCAGCCTCCCTTACAGCTGACTGTAGTCACGTGACAGTGTTATAGCCATTGGAATATAAGGAGAAATGACATACATAACTCCTCTTAAGGGAAGAAAAATATCCTTTCTTCTTCCTATTGACATGCATAATGGTAACCATCTTGGACAACAAGAGAGAAGCCACATACTAAGAATAGCAAAGGACGACAAAAGACGCCCAGGTCATGATGACTCAGGAACCTCTACAAAATCTCAAGATTGTTTTCATAGAGCAGTGCCTGGGGTGGCTTAGTCGGTTAAGCATCCAACTTTGGCTTAGGTCATGATCTCGTGCTTCATGAGTTCGAGCCCCGCACTGGGCTCTGGGCTGACAGCTCAGAGCCTGGAGCCTGTTTTGGATTCTGTGTCTCCCGTTTTCTCTGCCCCTCCCCCACTCACACTCTCACTCTCAAAAATAAATAATTAGAAAATAAATATATTTCTATCTTTAAAGTCTGTCACAGTGGTCACGTCTATATTTTAACTAATATCTCTAATATAAATGATTAATGAATTACCTACATGACTGCTTCCTTATATTAGTATAGGCATATATGTACAAATGTACAATAACTGGGATGTTTTTTCACATTTCAAAAATTATATGCCAAACACCATTAAATTTCATCAATTGGTCTCATTTTACCATGTATGAACACAGAGTTTCCATGGAAATTCTGAAAAATTTAACATGGATATATATGTGTTAATGATAGGCAGGTAAAAAATACACTCTAAGAAAAGGGTTAAAGGAGAAAATATCTTCCCATCTAAATTTCATTTACTATTACATAATAAGCTACACATATTTTTGTGTTAAACAAAACTTAAAATCAAAAATGATATCATACTTATCAATTTTCTCTTAACACTGTTTTCTCAAGAAAAAATTAAAATCCCAGCTTTCTACCAGATATAAACACCAAAACAAACTACAATACAAAAACCAACATGAAATTCTATCACCCAAAATGGTTTCATGTTTGAAAAAATTAACTTATTCATGATTATAAAACACAAGTGTTGACATTACCTGAGACTAAGATAAAAATGAAGACTTCAAGGAAGGGAATGCTGTAGAGTTGAAAAACAAATCATGGTTGAGTTTCTACCTTTCGTAAGCTTCAAATACCCTCCACACCACCTTAATCACTTATGCCATCCAAGTCCTACAAAAAAAAAAAAAAAATTACTCAGGAAAGGGGAAAAATACTGTATAAATACAATCTGGAGAAACTGGTATGAATAATGAAGCGATCATTCTTTGTAAATACGAAAACTATGCCTGAATGACCAGAACAATGACTTGCTTTTAAGTCTGAAACCAGGAGAATAAAATAGTGGTAAATAGTAACTGTAAAATAACCTTGGCCTTATAAAGAACAATTTGCTTAAATCTGAATCTACAACTTCAGAGATAAGGGATGTTGAAGGAAATTCAGAGGGTTACAGACCTAAAAAGTTAGAAAAGAGAACGCAAAGAAACCACTTAAAAGATTAAGCAAAGATTAAGAAACCACTTAATAGCACTATTTACTGCTTTGTAAAGTCTATTAAGTGAAGAGGGAAGAAAATACAATACCAGGCTTGATAAATAAGAAAACAGAACTAGTCATGTACAGAATAAATATTTATTCACAACAGAAACAATTATAGTTGTAAAATGCTATAAAATATTTAGATACAGAAACATAATCAGCCAGGTCATCTTTGACAGAAAAAGGTGACAATAAGATGAGAATAATTAATCATAGGAAGACGGTGTGGCATATCCAAAAAATACAAATAAAAATGAAGAACATAAGCTGTACACAATAAATCTGCCTGACACTACTTCTGGGCAGAGTAAAGACTGAAGAGTTTATGGAATTCCCTACCATAGGTCTTTAAAAATATTAGATTCCTATCTATCAATAATAGTTTATACACAGTCCACAGGAGACCAGGTGATATATGAAACATGATATGATTGTATATCAATTTTTACAGTGGTGTAAAAGCAAGAAAAATGGTCTTCCTCATCTAGAACAAAGTAGTATTTCCATCTTTGAACTTCCAAAAAATATAATACTAATTTACTTTTTAAAAATATTTCAATGCTGTATCCGTATTTTTTCAGAAGTTTACTTGTTTATTAACTAATCTCTACACCCAACGTTGGGACTCAAATTCATGAACCCAAGATCAAGAGTCGCGTGCTCTTACAAATGAGCCATCCAGGCACACCTGTATCCGTATTTTTTTAGTTTAAATTCTGAGCACCTGGGTGGCTCAGTCAGTTAAGAGTCCAACTCTTCATTTCGGCTCAGGTCATGATCCCAGGGCCTTGGGCTCGAGCACCATCCGTGCTGACCGTGAAGCCTGTCTCGGATTCTCTCTCTCTCCCTCTGCCCCTTCTCCTGTGCTCACACATTTTCTCAAAGATAAAATTAAAAGTTTAAATTCTGATGGGGCTATTCATCCCTTAGTAACCTTCCATCTCAGAAATTTCCTTAATATTCATGCATGTCGATTTTTCCAGATAAACTTTTGTCCAAAATAAAATTTATTTTCTTTCAATAGGATTGTATAATATACAAACGATAGTGAAATGACAACAGTAACAATAACCTAGGCAGGGGGAAGAGAGAGTCACAATACAGAGTTGCTTCAATATATTATCTACAATGCCCAGTTTTCAATTTTTTTTTTCAACGTTTTTATTTATTTTTGGGACAGAGAGAGACAGAGCATGAACGGGGGAGGGGCAGAGAGAAAGGGAGACACAGAATCGGAAACAGGCTCCAGGCTCTGAGCCATCAGCCCAGAGCCCGACGCGGGGCTCGAACTCACGGACCGTGAGATCGTGACCTGGCTGAAGTCGGACGCTTAACCGACTGCGCCACCCAGGCGCCCCAACAATGCCCAGTTTTCAACAATAAATTATAAGATTACTAAAGAAATGGAAAGCATGACATTTATATTAACAAACACTACAGTATCTGAGTATCTCCAGACATTGGTTTAAGCAAACAAATGTTTCAAAACATCTATTATACATATGTTAAAAGAATCCATGCTTTAAACTTCTTTAATTATGAAAATAATCAACAAATAACAGATTCTCAATAAATGTACAGAAATTATGTAAAAGAACCACACAGGAAACTCTGAAGTCGAAGAGTACAGTAATTAAAACAAATATTTCCTAGAAGTGCTCAACAGCAGATTCAAGATGGCAGAAAAAAATTAATGACCTTGAAGACATCTACTGAAATTATCCAATCTGAAGAACAGAGAGAAAAGAAGTTGAAGAAGATTAAACAGAACCTCAGAGACCAATTTATCAACACTTTTGGAGAGGAAAGAACAGAGGGAAACATTTTTAATAAAATATCTAACAAAACTTCCCAGATTTTACTTTTAGTAAAAAGAAATAAAATCTATAGGTCTTAGGAATTCAATGAATCTCAGGTAGAATACAAAAAGACCCACACCTAGACACATCATAGTGAAACTGCTGAAAGCAAACACAAAGTGAAAAATAATGCAACCATAACAAGAAAAATCACTCCGCACTGTGCAGGGAATTCAACATGATTAACACCTTTCAATCATAAACAATAGAGGCCAGAAAACAGTGGAATGACATATTCAAAGTGCTGAAAGAAAAAAGCTGTCAACCAAGATGGCAGCAGAATTATCATCCAATAATGAAGGCAAAATAAAGTGTCTCAGACAAAGAAAGGATGAGAGAATTTTTTACTAGCAAACCTGCCTAACCAGAAATTTTAAAGAAAGTCCATCAAGCTGAAAGGAAGACAAAAGATTCAGATACAGAGGAAAAACAGAAGAGCATCAAAAATGGAAAATATGTAGGTTAATCTAAAGGACTCTATAAATATATTTTCTCATTTCTTCTCTCAGCATCTTTTAATGACATAAGAATATATGAAGCAATGATTATAATATATTGCTGGTTTTATAGCATACATAAATGTGAAATATATACAATAACAGTGGCACAATAGAGGAAGGAAAAAAATGGGAGCTATACTGGAGCAAAGTTTCCATATTTTACTGACAATGAATTAAAGTTAATATTAAGCAGACTGTTAAAATGCATAATGTAAACCCTAAAGCAACCACAAATATATCTTTATATTTATATTTAATAAAGAAAAAAATCAATGGAGTAATTATATGATACACTAAAAAACACTTGACATAAAAAGAGGCACTAAAGGAGGCACAGAGGAACAAAAATAAGAGACATACATAAAACAAGTGGCAAAATGACAAATGTAAACCCAGCCATGTCCATAATTAAATGTGAATGGTCTAAACAGCCCAACGCGAAGGCCAGAGGGTGTCAGAATGGACCAAAAATGCCCACAAGATTTAACTACATTCTGTCAACAAGAGACACACTTTACATTCAAGACTGAAAGTTAAAAGATGAGTGGGAAAGGATATTCTATGGAAACAGTAACTGTAAAGAAGTGGATAGTTCTATCGATAACATAAATATATTAGTATTTGCCTTAAGACAAATATTACTGATGACAAAGGAAAGTATTTCATGATGATAAAATATCAATAAATCAGGAAGATATTGTTAACAATTATAAATGTATATGCACCTAAAAAGAGCCCCAAAATAATGAAGCAATAACATTATTGAAAAAACAAAAATTCAACAATAGTTGGAGATTTCAATTCTCCATTCTATATAATTGATAGAATAACTAGACAGAAAATTAGCAAAGATACAGAAAACCTGACTCATACTAACAACAAACTAGACTGAACTGGCTTATACAAAAAACCTCCATAAACAACAGAATACATGTTGTTTTCAAGCACACAAGGAACATTCTCCAGGTGAGACCAAACAGTAGGCTACATAACAAGTCTCATAAATTTAAAAGGACGGAACTCATACAAAATACGTTCTTCAATCATAACAGAATTAAATATCCACTAAATTAGAAACTGGAAAATCCACATGTGTTCAGGAATTAAACTTCACACTTCTAAATAATTTAGGAGTCAAAAAAGAAATTAAAAGAACAATTAGAGAATATTTTTAACTGAATGAAAACAAAAACATCAAAATTTATGAGATGCAGCTAAAGTACTTAGAAGGAAATTTATAAATTTAACTAAACCCTAAAGTAAGCAAAGGGAATAATACAGAGAGCAGAAATTAACGAAATTCAAAACAGAAAAAAACTTGATTCTTTAAGATCAACAAAACTGACAAACTTTTAGGCAGACTAAGAACAAAAAGAAAACACAATTACCAAAAACAGGAATGAAAGAGGGGATGGTAATACTGACCTCACAAAAATTAAGTTATAAGACAGAAATACAAGGTTATATGTAAATAATACCTCAAAAATTTTTTTAAGAATTATAAAGGATGGAATATTATAAGTAAATTTATGCCAACACATTATACAACTTTGTAACATGAACAAATTCCTAAAATGACACATATTATCAAAACTGACTAAAGAGGAAATAGAAAAATCTGAATGTAACAATTAAACAAACTGAATTAGTATTTCAAAATTTCCCACAAAGAGGAGCGCCTGGGTGGCTCAGTCGGTTAATATCTGACTTCGGCTCAGGTCACAATCTAACGGTTGGTGAGTTCGAGCTCCGCGTTGTGCTCTGTGCTGGCAGCTCAGAGCCTGGAGCCTGCTTCGGATTCTGTGTCTCCCTCTTTATCTGCTCCTCCCTTGTTCACGCTCTTTCTCTCAAAAATAAACATACATTTAAAAAAAAATTTTTTTAATTAAATTTCCCACAAAGAAAAGAACAGGAGGGGCGCCTGGGTGGCGCAGTCGGTTAAGCGTCCAACTTCAGCCAGGTCACGATCTCGCGGTCCGTGAGTTCGAGCTCCGCCTCAGGCTCTGGGCTGATGGCTCAGAGCCTGGAGCCTGTTTCCGATTCTGTGTCTCCCTCTCTCTCTGCCCCTCCCCCGTTCATGCTCTGTCTCTCTCTGTCCCAAAAATAAATAAAAAACATTGAAAAAAAAATTTTTTTTAAAAAAGAAAAGAACAGGCCAAAATGGCATCACTGATGAATTCCACCAAATATTTAAGGAAGAAATACTAATCCTTCACAAATTCCTTCACAAAACAGGAAAACGGTACATTCTGAAACTCAATCCGTGAAGCCAGAGTTAACTTGATACCAAAGTCAAAGAAAATTACATGAAAACTACTCAGCGATGCCTATAATTATAAAATTAGGTAAAAAAAAATTCTTACAAAATACTAGCAAACTGAATCTAGCAACATATAAAAGGCCTACACACCATGACCAAGTAGGATGTACCCCATGAATGCAAAGGTAGCTAAACATCTGAAAATCAAGTAAGATAATACACTATATTAAGAGAATACAGGAAAAACCCATATGGGAGCCTCAATAGAAAAAAAGCACCCAACAAAATTCAACACCTATTCATGATAAAAACTCTCAACAAACTAAGACTAGAAAGAGAACTAATAAATGAGTTCAGCAAAATCACCATTAATGAGTTAAACAAGATCATAAAATATTAAATCAATAAATAAAATCAATTTTATTTTTAGAGTGATATCATAACGTTCTATCAAAAATTTGAATTGATGGGGCGCCATTGAGGCTTCCAGCTCAGGTCGCGATCTCACTGAACACTTAGTGAGTTTGAGCCCCGCATCAGACTCCCTGCTGTCAGCACAGAGCCCACCCACTTCATATCTTCTGTCCCCCTTTCTCTCTGCCCCTCCCCCACCACCTGCTGGTGTGGACGTGCACATGTTCTCTTTCAAAAGAAGGACAGGAAGGAAGGAAGGAAGGAAGGAAGGAAGGAAGGAAGGAAGGAAGGAAGGAAAGGAAAAAGGAAAGGAAAAAGGAAAGGAAAAAGGAAAGGAAAAAGGAAAGGAAAAAGGAAAGGAAAAAGGAAAGGAAAAAGGAAAGGAAAAAGGAAAGGAAAAAGGAAAGGAAAAAGGAAA